CTTCTGTTGTGTTAGTTTAGAAAAAGAATCTCATGTTCTTCCAGGGTAAATAAAACCAGAGGAATGTTTAAGTATCCAATAAGGTCAGAAATCCACATAATCCCACAAAACATTATTAAGTCTGATTAATACCTCCATACTACATGTTTCTGCAAAAAGTAGAGGGAAAGCAGACATTTATGGCAGCATATTGACAAGAGAGCAGAATGGAGGTGGAGATGACAAGAGGAGAGTAAGGACAGACCAAAAAAAAACAAAAAAAAAACACACTCTGGTAACGTAGGGTTATGTGACAATAAAATCTGTGTCCATTAGATTTTTCTGGCCAATACTAAGGCGGGAATGTGGAGTCTGCAAGAAAAGTTAGACAATCTTCAGGCTAGTTCCGCTAACAATCTGCAGAGGTGTCAGGGAATTATTCAACCTTTGGAAATAAATTAATATTAAGATCAATTGGGAGCCAAAAGAGCCAGATATTTTACTTAACTGAACCAAAAGATTAGAGATTTCCAGGCACATTCCCATCACCTGACACTGGTTAACATTCAAGGAACAAAGGTTGAGAAAGTGGAATATTTATACACTACCGTTCAAAAGTTTGGGGTCACATTGAAATGTCCTTATTTTTTAAGGAAAAGCACTGTACTTCTCAATGAAGATAACTTTAAACTAGTCTTAACTTTAAAGAAATACACTCTATACATTGCTAATGTGGTAAATGACTATTCTAGCTGCAAATGTCTGGTTTTTGGTGCAATATCTACATAGGTGTATAGAGGCCCATTTCCAGCAACTATCACTCCAGTATTCTAATGGTACAATGTGTTTGCTCATTGGCTCAGAAGGCTAATTGATGATTAGAAAATGCTTGTGCAATCATGTTCACACATCTGAAAACAGTTTAGCTCGTTACAGAAGCTAAAAACTGACCTTCCTTTGAGCAGATTGAGTTTCTGGAGCATCATATTTGTGGGGTCAATTAAACACTCAAAATGGCCAGAAAATGAGAACTTTCATCTGAAACTTGACAGTCTATTCTTGTTCTTAGAAATGAAGGCTAAATTGCAGATTTCCTACAACGGTGTGTACGACTCCCTTCAGAGGACAGCACTAACAGGCTCTAACCAGAGTAGAAAAAGAAGTGGGAGGCCGCGTTGCACAACTGAGCAAGACAACATATTCTCATTATCAGTTCGTATGAAATCGTACGAAAAATTATGCACAGTATTTCGTGGGTTTTTGAAGTTTTTCTCTCGAAAAACATATCAGTGCGCATGCGCAGCCAGCCAGACGAAAAAAGCAGATCAGCGGACGGACGTAAAACTGGGACGGACGACCTTTCGACAGTGCAATAATTACTTCATAATGTCTCTCACTAAGTTGCTTTCTGTTTTGGATGTTAGGGTTAATTGTATGTTAAATTGTATGTTATTGAATGGTGCGTAAGATGCGCATGCGCACTGATATCTTGTCTCAAGGCAAGACGTAAAAATACGACGAAAAAAACGTCAAAAACCCACGAAATACTGTGCATAACTTTTCGTACGATTTCATATGAACTGATAATGAGAATACACTGAGCAAGAAGATAACTACATTAGAGTCTCTAGTTTGAAAAACAGATGCCTCACAGGTCCCCAACTGGCATCTTCATTAAATAGTACCCGTAAAGCACCAGTGTCAACATCTACAGTGAAGAGGCGCCTAGGGGATTCTGGGCTTCAGGGCAGAGTGGCAAAGAAAAAGCCATATCTGAGACTGGCCAATAAAAGAAAAGATTAAGATGGCCAAAAGAACACAGACATTGGACAGAGGAATACTGGAAGAAGTGTTGTGGTCGGATGAATCCAAGTTTGAGGGGTTTGGATCACAAAGAAGAATGTTTGTGAGACGCAGAACAAATGAAAAGATGCTGGTAGAATGCCTGATGCCATCTGTTAAGCATGGTGGAGGTAATGTGATGGTCTGGGGTTGCTTTGGTGCTGGTAAGGTGGGAGATTTGTACAGGGTAAAAGGGATTCTGAATAAGGAAGGCTATCACTCCATTATCTATCACTAATAGGCTATCACTATTAACATTTTTTGGGTAACTTCTGTCTGTTATCAAAACCCTAAAGAGTTCAGATTTTCCTCCTTTTTTTATAATTGGACCTCGAACAGGTTTGAGTTTTAATGCTATGTTATATGCATAGGTTCAACCTGTCCTGAGTTGGTCTGACAATAATTAATTCAGCTCAAAGTTTAACAGAGCAGCAAAGTTAAAGATTTACAGTTAACTTTAAATATAAGGTTCATTCAATTCAGGCCATTATTTATAATCCTCGTTAGATCAATTGTTATTCTATATATACTTTTTTTTCATTGATATCTGTCTATTTCAAACACCTTTCCCCATGAAAAATGGTATTTTGTTTTGTTTTAAGGGATTCACTTATTGTGCACAATAAGTACAGTTAGAGTTTAGGTCACTTTGCCAGTATTTGTTTAACTTTTGATATGTTTTGGGGTTCAAGCTTGCTTTTTAACCAATACAGCGGATCTGCTATCAAAACATTAAAGAGTTCAAATCTATCATCCTTTTTATAATCAGATATAAAAAGGGTCTCATTATTAAGTTTAGTTTAATCCTATATTTTTCAAACCCATTTTTTCCTGTTCTACTAATTTAAATCTATCCTGTATAAATAGAATCAAACTACTATGTACTATGATGTTCACTGTATGGTCGTCTCTTCCATCTACCAGTCATCTTACATTGTTGTTACGTGATGCTTTTTTTTCCCATTTGTCTTTTTGAGGTTGCTTGTGTCTTTTCACTCTTCCACAATCTTGATTAATTGAGTTTAATTCATCCATCCATCCATTTTCCATCATGCTTATCCCTGCTGGGGTCATGAGGGGTGCTGGTGCCTATCTAGCTGTCTACAGGCGAGAATTTAGACAGATGTTTTGTTTTGTCATTTTGTATACACGAATGTAAACAAAAATAAATTTTGTTTAAAACAGCTCTAGACAATTTCTTTTTTTTTAAGTGCAGCCTTGAAAACAGTATAGTAATATAAACATATGACTGTATATTTACAGTTCTAACGTATTTTTTATTTTTAAAATAAAATAACCAAATTTACACAACATTCAGCTGTCTAATGGCAGTAGGGAAGAAACTGTCAGGGAATCTGCTGGACCTGCATCCAATGCTTCGAAGTCTTTTCCCAGAGGGCAGCAGGGAGAACAGTCCATGGTGGGGGTGTGAGGGGTCATTGATGATGTTACGGACATGCAGCGCTGGGATGAAATGTCTTTAATGGAGGAAAGAGGATCTTCTCTGCAGTTCTTACTACTCTTCTCACTTTAGAAGCGAGGTCCACCCTGGACAGGTCGCCAGTCCATCACAGGCCAGCACAGAGACAAACAGGACAAGCAACCATTCATGCACACACTCACCTAAGGAGAATTTAGAGAAACCAATTAACCTAACAGTCATGTTTTTGGACCCTGAGATAACCCACAAATGCTCAGGCAGAACATGCAAACTCCAAGCACAAAGACCCTGGGCCTGGAATCAAACCCGGAACCTTCTTCCTGCAAGGCAGCAATGCAACCCACTGCCCAGCTGAGCAGCCCCCAGTTCAATTCATTTGCAGGGACAATTCAACCTAACTCATTAAGTGAGTTTCTGAATTCTCCTCCTCATCTTCATTGTTACAATGTTATCTTCTTAGAGACTTAATGATCTACTTCAGGTGTTTTTATTTGCTCTACTGCCATCCAGTGGACAGATACAGCATATTTCACAATTTCAGGTTTTACTACCTTGATCTCTTTATTAGAGCTCAGTATATTGTCTTTCGTGAATGTGCAATGTGGTTTGTTAAAAAAAATGACCAATATAGGAAGTGTTTGAAGATAACAATAACTAATAAAGCTGTTTCAAAACTTGCTACTGCAGAACAAAAGTATTGGAGTTAGACCATCCATTCATTTTCAGTCACACTTATCCCAAACAGGGTCGCAAGGGGTGTCTGGTGCCTATCTACAGCTGTCTACTGGCGAGAGGCGGGGTTCCCCCTGGACAGGTGCACCATGCACCAGGATTTGAACCCAGACTTTCTTGCTGCAGGGCAGCAGTGCTAACCACTCCTCCACTGAGCAACCCAGAGTTAGTCCATCCTTTTTCAAATACATTATCAGTTAGGGTTCATACAATAATCAGTCAATCTTTTATGGTTATTTTTTACTGTTTTTAATCATTTCCTTTTTTAAGTAATTATCATGCACAAATTGTGTTCAAGATAAATAATTAGGTGATAAAATGATGTAATGGCATAGTTTTATGTGACTTTAATAAAAGCAGAATAACTTTAGATTTGTTTTCTCCAACTTCAAAGACAAAGACAAGTACATGTTATTGGTCGTTTATCAAGAGGGCAGGATTGTTGTGGCGGAAGATTCACAAGCTTTTTGGTTGTGGCCACTTTGTCTGAAGCATCTTGCTAACTGGTTAGCAACTTGGTGGTAGTAGGTTCCTAATGGGAAATTCCATTGGGACCAAGAAGCACTAAATTCGTTACTTAGAAATGACCATTGCAAAGAACATTATGGACAGCGGAAACATGTAAGAGGAGGAGAGTTTAGTGTCGGAGGTCGTGGATGAGTCTCCTCCCTCATCCATTTTTTATTTAGAGAAATAGAAAGCGGGGACGAAGATGTCGTGGAAGAGGACGCCAGGGCGGCAGAAGCTTGGTTTGGTGTAGAAGGCTTCCAGCCGTACATGTTTGAGCCCTTGCCTCGCAACGCTGCCAGTTCTGTTAGCTCTACGCCTGCAGAAGACACAGACGTCCATCCCCATGAACACTGGGACGGAACTCAATGGGAAAGGAAATGATTCTGATTTCTTATTTCAACTGTTGCGTATATTAGCTGCGGCATATGAATATAGATGCTATGACCGAAAAAATGTGATTGACAGATGACCATTGATATATGATTGGCTGAATTTAGGTGTTCGGGCTGACATATAACTAATTGGCCTGCATAAGATGACGGGGAAGAACCACAGATTTTAAGACAGGATCTTTTTTTTTTTTAAATAGAAATTTTCTAACTTTTGGGACAATATCATCTGTTAAAGAGTACATTTATATATATGTTTTAGCCAGAATGATTTGAAATTTAAATATGACTTGTGATTCGAGGCCACTGTAACAGAAAGCCAGCCTGGTTGCTAAGCAGCTGCTTCTGTAAGCTTTAACAGTTTGTTTCATAAATTTTTTTTTTTTCGAGGTTGTTCTTTTCAGGAGGTAACCTTCACTAAACAGATCAATTCTACAAGAACTATTCATGACTATTTGTTTTGTCAGGTTTGATTTATCTGGCTCTTCCTCTTCACATCCGAGAAACAGCACAGAGTTTATGAGGTAAAGGGCCGAAAGTGAGGCCTCCTTGTACAGTCAGAACCAGTTCGTCTTCTGTGACTCCGGGTGCAGGAGTGAAGCGGAAATGCTGCAGCAGGGTGGTAAAGAAGAGAAAAAGCTCCATCCTGGCTAAACTCTCTGCAAGACAAATCCTGCGGCCTGAAGGGGAGATTGAAACATCAGATATTTCTTCAGTTACAGCAATTCCCCAGAGATACCTGAACAAACACATACCTGCAGAAAATGGCATGAAGGCATCACGCTTGACAAATTTTCCTTCTTTGTCCAGAAAATGAGCAGGATGAAAGCTGTGGGGTTTCTCCCACTCACTGGGATCATGGAGGACAGAAGTCAGGAGAGGATAAACCGTAGTGCCCTTCAGCAAACACAAGATTAGTAAACAAAGGAAACAATTTATCACCTTATCAACTTTTTTTACCTTTCAGAATAATAAAAGGAAAACAAAAGACTAAAAACATGAATTTTAGCCTACATGATGGTTGGTTTTTACACGTACCATTCCAATAATCTAATACTTTATACAAGTTTAGCTGATTGCAGTTGTTGAACTCTTGTAGCTGACAGAAGAAATATTGCTGCAAGTAGAAACTCTATTTTGATAATCAGAATTAAGAAAGTTAGAACCATAAAATCTAAAGTACAAAGAAAGTTGCCCTAACTGCTCACAAGTACGTGTTTAAACTATTTCTATTTCTCATGCATTCTGCCTTTTAACCACCAGAGGTCCTCAGTCCCCCTTTATGTATCTAACCTAGAGCACCAACACTTTGATTCTGAAACATCTTCACAACAACAAATAAACCTGCTCTTAAATTGAAAATTACATTATTTTATAATCCCATGCTGGATGTTTTTTTCTGTTTTACTTTGTTTTACTCTCAAACCCTTCTTACTTTCAGACAGAATAAACGATCAATAACTTTTCAAGTTGACATTTGAAGTAAAACTGCTAACTGAGGTGTCATTAGTTAAATTTGTATTCCAACACGTTTATTTGTTTTACTACCCGTCTTTACTGTTTTTTTTTCTTTCATTGCTTTTATTCAATCTTAGTTTCCTTCTATTTGATTCTTTAATTTGTGTAAAGCACTTTGAATTGTCTTTGCGCATACAAAGCATGTCAGTGCTTTTTTTCTGGATAAACTACCATGTTTATTTCTCTCTTTTCTCCTAAACAATCACGCCCAAGCCAAAGTAAATTCTTGAACTTATTTTTTTTAACAATGATTTGGTGGGTAGTAATTAGTTAAATTTATTAAACTTTTATTAAGAAAATGTATTCTTAGGTGTTAAGGCTCAGAACAGAGTGCCCAGTATTCAGGCAAACAGTCAGATATCTCAAAATAAGCATTTTTTTAAATGATGGAATCTATGGTGAACAGTTAGGGCTTCTAATGCAGGAACCTCTGCAGGAGACAGCAGGTTAGTGACCATGTTAATTTGACAGAGGATGATTATGAACTTGTGAGTCAGTAACCTGGTCTTATTGTTCAGTCAGTGCCCACAGGACGAGGTTGATTCCAGCTGCCTACAAGACACGGCCAAGAGAGTTCCAGAATCTGTAGCTCTGGAGGTCAAAGGACAAGCGGGAGATCAGAACCAAGCAGACGAATAAAGGCAGGATAATCCAGAGGGCAAAGCCACTGTCGAGGATGTGCTATGGATTCAGAACCAGGAGATCAGAAGTCTGAAGAGGTTCAGAAAGGGAAATCCAGAAGGGTTTCAGGAATCAGTTCCAAGTTCGGTCAAAAGGCAGAATCCAGCACGAGTCCAAAGACGGGTCAGGCGCACAGATCTGAACAAGAACCGGTAAACTCAGAGGTCCAAAGGAAGAACGATTCAGGATCAGGCAATCAGTAACACTAAGGTACGCAGGAGAAAACTAACACCACAGGTTCAAGAAATAATATGACACTGATGACTGGTTAGAGGGCTTGTTAAAAAGAAGCTGGTGCAGGTAGATCAGATGAATGGTAATGAGAAACTGGGCAGAGCTAGGCAGGTGAATGGAAAGAACAATCAAGCCAGTCATCAGCGCTAAGATACTGTTTGGACACTGAGGGGTATTTTGCTTTCCAATGTTTCCCACTTAAAGGCACACCATGTACCTTTTAGCCACTAGGGGGCACTATATTTTTTAACTGCCTGTATTTTGCTTCTAAAAAACATTGAAAATAGTAACAAAGATATATTACTGCATGTTAGGAGCGAAGTCTAAACTTACCAGGCTAATAATGAAGCTGAGAAAAGAGAATCAGTTTTACATCTGGCTTTTTTCAGCCTGCACCACTGAACAAACTCCTTTCCATGTTTTTCAGCATCCACGATCCCTTTCATGTTTTCTCTTTTTAGCCTCTTCAGAAGGTTTAAACTTTGCCTGCGTCAGCCAGCGGGAAAATAGTAGAGCAAAAGTCTTTGATGTGGAAAGCGCCATGACTATATAAGGTACATCCTTCCAGCTCACATGACCTGGCCAACGACTGTGCATCGTCTCCCAACTTACGAAGGCAGTATTTCAATAGGGGAGACCCGCTGATAGCATTGATAGTGTCAAGCACTGTATATTGGCTTGAGGAATCATTTAAAATATCTCAAATGTGACAATTGTTTAGGTCACAAAGTTCGCTGTGTGCCTTTAAGTAATATTCTTTTTATAACATTGCTGTTCTTACTTTAGTAAAATGCGTGTTTTAGATACCCAGCAAAAGTAATTTGAGCTATTCAGACATACGGTGAATGTAAAAAGATATTGGGGATGGAAGTTATATGTCCTTTACTGATACAGAAGCATTGCAAGAAGTAAACACACCAGGCAGAACCTGCTCTGCTGCTCATTGTAAAGATGTAATCCTTGGTGCAGCTAGTTAGTAAAATGGCTTTGCTTGTGCTATTAAGTTATCCCATGTTTTTATGCACATAGGTAGATATTCTTTGTCAAATAGAGTCAAATCTGCAACAAAAGTTCTTCTTTTCCCTAAAAGCTGTATGTAAAACTACCACACCACCCTTTTTGAAATAAGGCAGCATTTTGGTATTTTTGTGAATGTCAGGCTTTCTTTCTTGCTATAAATGTATATTCATTTTCTCCAAACTGACCTTCTTTATTAGGTAACCCTGAAATGTGATGTCTCTGCTGGTTTTATGAGGAAGTCCAGCAGGAATAACGTTGACCAATCTTTGAGTCTCGTGGATAACGGCATCAGTGAAGGGCAGACTCCTTCTGTCTGCTACCTGGACCTGACGATCTCCTATCACCTTCCTCAGCTCCTCATGGACCTGCTCTTTTAGATAGAATGGAATGAAGATAATGGTAATTTATTTATTCACAATATAAACCTCAAATTTTTTCCATTAACACTTTGTTCCTTCTTGTCTTCGTGGTAGTAAAGTCTTTACCTTGTATCTTTGGATATTTGGCCATAAGAAGAAGACCCCATCTTAGAGTGGTGGCTGTCGTTTCAGTGCCGGCGTTGAACAAGTTTGTAGTCATCATTAAGAGGTTTTCATTGTTGAATGGGCTGTCGTTAATGCCAGATTCCTATGAATAGATAAATAACTATGATTCTTCATGCACATTTCTGGCATCAATTTCACACACCCAGATGTAGTAAAGGCCTCCATTTAATATTATTATATGGTAATTACAAAGTGAGTCCTAATTTAAATTTTCTAAAGTGAAGTTTAGTTCAGAAATACTTTACTGACCCATAGAGAAATAAAATAAAATGAAAAAATTTAATAAATCATACATCTGCTTGTGCTTTTTTTACGATTGGTTAATGTAATTCATGACTGTCATAGATAGATTGCCATCATGAAAATGAGTTTCTGTAATCCTGTCTTCCTGAGAATAGAACAGTAGCACTACTGGCATAAAAAAAAACATGTTTTAAGATTTTTTAGGCAATTTAAATATTGATTCTAAACATTTTGATGCTTCACTGCAATGATATAAAATCTTAGCTTTTATATTTTGCATCTTTCTTTGCAGAATGAATCAAAGATTTTTTAGAATTCAAGCAGACTGTGAAAACTCATTTGTAAACGAGACATTCATCTCTACTCCTTTTAAATGAAGTTAAGATCCTTATTTTTTTATTAGAATATTGAAATCCTTACCTTCAGTTTTTTCTTATGAACAAGAAAAGCATCGACTAATCCTCTGCACGTCTCTGGGTTGAGGGTCTTTTTCAAATGACTGAATAAGGCAACATTTTGCTTCCTGTTAGCAGCAGCCACATTGAACACCTCCTTTCTGTTGGCAACCCACTTGAAAAGTAATGGATACAGATTGTAGGCCTGTGTACATTGAAATGCACATGTCACAAAAGTATTAAAAATTGTTGACAAGTAAAAGAAGTCTGTCTCTAGGCTTTTCAAATTTATCCCATGCTTGATTTTTTTTGTTTGCAAACATACGTCACAGTGCCTGTGAGCTGCCACCAGAGGCCCTTACCTGGATAGTCTTCACGGCAAGGTACATTTATCGAGTAACACATTAAATTATGCAACAGTTTAGAGTTCAGTGAATGAGCAGAACTTAAGAAAAGAAACCAAACAGGAAAGACAATTGTTGTGCTATAACAGAGAAAACCTTGACCTTTATTAAAACAGAAGTCCGATAAGAAATCAAAGTATGGAGAGGTTATTTTTTACAGTAGTAGCCATTAAAAATTAGCCTGGGTGCCATTCCGAACTTAGTCCCGCCCACAACGTTTGAGGTCGGGAAGTTCGGTCTGGCATTGCTCAACAGTAGCGCAAGTATGCTAGCAGCACAATATCTGGCGGGCCAATCAAATTGTCAGGGCGGGCTTTATACGATGATGGACAAATGACCAACAGTAACGTAATCAACCACGTGACCAAAGCGCGCTTGGGTGACAACAACAATGGCTGCCGCTGGAGAGTTTAGGTGTGTAGATTCTGCTATTAGGTCTGTTCTAGAAGATATCGACAGCAAATTAATTTTAAAAGAGGAACAGAGAAACGCGATCAAGGCCCATCTTCTTATTCTAGGTGTGCAACTGCACGCTTTGATTTTTGTTGACAACAACTATGCGTTGCTTAACATACGTCACACACTCCGTTGCTCTTATTGGTCTATCCAATTGAGTGCAGAGGCATTTTTTTCCTGGTTCGTTCAAAACACGCCCCATAATCACAGCTCTATGGAGCAGCATCAGACTCATATTCTGACTAGAATTGAGTAGGACTGCGTCAGGCTAATTAAAAATGGCCCTTTCCAGTCAAAAGCCAGCCGAATGGCAGACCGCTTCCCTGCAGCTCCCAGCAAAATCCCCTCCAACTTCCAGCCTATGGCCTTCTCCTGGACGTGCATATTTTTTTACTCTGACTCCACCCTTTCACTGAATTACAGGGTCTGACCAGGAGATAACGCTTCTCTTTAGATCTTAGTGTCCACAAATAATGAGAGAAATAATATTTTAGTGCAAAGATTGATGTTTAAAAAGGAATTGTAGGGGACCAGCCAAGGACCATCAAGAAAAGTGGGGAAATTTTGAATGGCTACTACTGTACAGTACATTTCCCAGAAGAAACCATCTTTGCCCACATATTGATCACAGAATCTTTGGACAGCAGGTGTCAGAACCTTTACTCTTTTAACTCCAGACAGAATGTCTGGAGTGTCCCAATCCAAAAACAAAGCACTTCCCCCAAACACTAGGCTTCATTTACACCTTAGGCTAAATCTGGTCGACCCATCATAGTGTTGAGTCAGTCCTGAAATAATGGTTGAAAATGGGGCAGTGTTTGGTCGTTCTGATTTTAAAGGTCAAAGGACGTTATATTCAAATCATTGGAAAAACGGTGTAAACTGGGTTTGCCACGTCTTTCCAATTTTCTGTTTATTACTGGACTAAAATGTGACAAAATTAGACTGTCCAAACAGTCCAATTTTCAATAACTATTTCTGGACTAAATCAAGACCATGACAGAATGAGAAGATTTAGCCTAAAAACCAACGTCTAAATGACATCTGGTGTTTGGCGGTGGGATCAGCTTAGGCTTTTTAGAATACCAGTGCCTACCAATCTTCTGCCCAAGGATGTAAAGGTCTCCCTATTTCAAGCTAGCTTTATCTAATGATCTGCCATTTCGCTTTAATCATTGACAATTTTTTAGTTTAATCACTCTTAAAAAAAAAGACAAAATCTACACTTACCTGAAGTGAAGTGGAGCCAAAAAGGTTGTTCATTTTGGATATTCGATGTACCATACATTTAAATTCTGGATCATCATATTCAAATCTGCTCCCATAAACCATTAAACAGATCATGTTAGCGGCTGCAAAGGTTATCGGTTGGCTTGTATCAAAAGGCTTTCCTGGATTAAAGGAAAAATTAACCAATTTTAGCATGGTTAGAAATTAAATGACACAACAACCACCAACCGATGGACACTCTAAATAAATTTTACCTTTATAATCTTTCAAAAGTTCAATCAGGTGCAGACATTCCTCAGTGATTTTTCCCTCACACACTTTTTTACCCATCCCAAAGTCCCTGAGGTTACTCAAAGTGAAGCGTCGCATTTCTCTCCATGTGTCACCATTGGTCCACAACAATCCTAAGATGTAGATAAGAGAATAGCTAGAAAGAGTGCGGGATATATGTGCTTTGTCTTTTTTTCTTTTCCTACCATGTCCTTTATTAAGTTCTTGCATGATTTGTAACGCATCTCTTTCTCCAAACACTTCATCATGGTTAACAAGGGCGTCTTTCACTGTCCTGTATCCTGCCAGGACCACCACTTTTTTGGGACCAAAATACACAGTGAAGACTGATCCATATTTCTTGGAGAACTAACAAAGTAGAAAAGCATTTATTGCATTTTATGTATAAAATGTAACTTAAAAGGATTCTCCTTAACATTAGTATGCAAAAATAAGTATTGCTGTTCATGACTTACCTCCAATAACGTGTAGAAGGGTCTGTTTAAATCAAGCTGCAGCAGGTTTCCAAGCAAGGGAAGGGGTATTGGACCTGGTGGCTCTTTACTATTCCCTTTGGAAAAGAAAATCACTGAGTATATCAGATACATGACCAGCAGAACAAAAAAAAGGTCCAACATGGTAACAGAATTTAGAGCGTGGAGCAAAGATTTTAGAATCTCCATCAGTATTTCAGCAAAATGCTTTTTCCTTGGTTGATACTCATCAAAAGACAAGAGAAAACCTCTCAGGATTTATATCTCACACTGCTGGATTAAATACCTTCTTTTTTTAAGGGGGCGTGTGGTTTAATGATTTAAACCAGTTTAATATTTCACAGTGTTCAAGAGTCTCTGTTTAACTTATCAACCCTTCTGTTGTGTTAGTTTAGAAAAAGAATCTTATGTTCTTCCAGGGTAAATATAACCAAAGGAATGTTTAAGCATCCAATAAAAGAAATCCACATAATCCCACAAAACATTATTTAGTCTGATTAATACCTCCATACTACACGTTTCTGCATGAAGTAGAGAGGAAACAGACATTTATGGCAGCATATTGACAAGAGAGCAGAATGGAGGTGAAGATGACAAGAAGAGACCAAAAAAAGAAAAAGAAAACAGACTCTGGTAAGGTAGGGTTATGTGAAAATAAAAAAAATCTGTGTCCATTAGATTTTTCTGGCCAATACTAAGGAAATGTGGAGTCTGCAAGAAAAATTAGACAATCTTCAGACTGGTTCCGCTGGCATTCTGCACAGGTGTTAAGGAAATATTTAACCTTTGGAAATAAATGAATGTTAAGATCGGTTGGGAGCCAAAATAGCCAGATCTTTTATTTAACCGAACCAAAGGATTAGACATTTCCAGGCACATTCCCTTCACCTGAAACTGGTTAACATTCAAGGAACGAAGGTTAGGAAAGTGGAATATATATATTTATGGATGTTCACCTTTACAATATACTGGAAGGGAGTACATTGGAAAAAATAAAATCTAGATAAGTCATTTTTTTATTAAAATTTGTGCATTAGTTCTTGAATTGAGGAGGTAAAAGAAACATTTTTTCTATTGGAACAAGACAATTTACATTTAAAACAAGAGAACACAATTGCATTGTCTTATTTCAAGTGCATTTAATCTAAATATCTTATTTTAAGAGTAAAAACACTCTTTACATTGGCAAATCATCTCATTTATCTACTAAAATTGCCGAAAGAGCTAATGCTCTTTGCAGGAAGGATCAAATCAGATTCTAAATGCTGAGGAGGTTGCGATAGTTTGGAGTTCAGAGAAGACTCCTAAATACCTTATTTGACTCTGCAGTGGACTCAGCCTTCCTGTATTTCCTTTTTAATTTTATATTTCTTTAGTCTTTGTATATTTGTATTTAAACATATATGTTGGGAAGTGTTGTCCTAGTTGGTTAGAGCAGTGTGTTTGTGTTGTGTGTCAAGGCTGCAAGTACCTGATTCAATCCCCACAGCCTCCACTCTGGGCTCCTAAGCAAAACTCTTAACCCAACACTGCTCCAAAGGGGTGCTGCACAATGGCGATGGGTCAGATGCTCATGTGGGACAATAAAAGGATTTACATTACATTTTCTTGCCTTTTAGTTCCTTTTTGCCACTCTACTTAAGTAGTTTTAGCAATGTTTTGTCATACTCCCAGTCCTGGGTGCAGGCCGGGTTTTTCCTTTTTTCTCTCTCTGCAGGGCTGGACGGGCAGGTGCTCCTCATCAAGTTGATTCCCACCCTTTTTTAGGAGCTGAAACCAGGAAGAGGGAGTCAGTTCGTTAATGCTCCAGCATTGGTACAACTGATCCAGAACCAAGCCTAGCTCCTTAGCTTTGCCTGAATCTAACCCTGTCCTCTCTGCTCCCTTCTTCTAGAACCCAGGATTCCAAGCCTTGAAACCACTCCAGAGACCTCTTCGCTTTGGACCCCCGTTCGAGGCGTTTTCAGTCAGCCTCTAAGAACCAGTGAGGCTTCAGGCCTCAGAACCATAAAAGCCCTCCTGCCTGAGCTCACCTGCCTGTCCACCCTCATACACCACCATCTGATCTCACCCGCCGGACCTGCACCATTCGCCTGGACCACTGGACACCATCCTCCCAAAACAGACACCAAGCCGCCCTCTCTGTGAGTCTCACACATTCCTCACTCCTCTACCAGCACCGAACTGTTACTCACCTGTCACCAAACCTCTTCCAGCAGCATCCTGACAACCCTGCCTGCCGGACTCCTCTCTGTACAACCACAAATCTTCAATAAAACCCTTAACTGATCCTTGCCTCCGTGATTGCTCCTATTCAGAGTCTGAAAACCCAAACATGACATGTTTGGCATCCTTTCTTATCTTTATGAATGTATATTTGTTTTCCAGACTGACCTTTATGGAGTAAACCTAAAAAGTAATGTCTTTGCTGGTTTGGTGAGAGAGTGAAGTTGGAACGAGTTTTTTTTTGAGCATCTGTTCTTTACTGAAAATGTTTAGATTAAAATTTTTATTTCATGGTATTAGTGACACCGCAATTATGCCTTTACTTCTTCAGTCAAAAATCTGAAAACTCGTTACTCGCTATCAATTAAGTTTTTGACTTGAATTCATCTTTGAAGAATCAGCCTGTAAACAACAAAAGAAGAACGCTCCTTAATGGTAATTGGTGATAATGAACCACATTGTTATTTCCCAAGTTTTTAAGGTTTTCCTTTGATTATTTCTCTTTAAACATCAATGTTCAGTACTATTCTTACAGGGGTAAGAAGGTTATTTATACAGCTACAAATGAGTCCAAATATTGTTGTAAAAGCTGAAAAACCCCAAGTTACCACTAAACCATTCTGCAATATAGGTATTAAAGTTCATTAAAAGTCCAGTTTTTGTTTTGTTTGCATATCATGTAGACAAAATGCACTTTAGGTTGTTTTTTGTTTGTTTTTTCTTTCTAAGACAGAGTGGAAATATATAATTGTATTCTCAAAAAGGCACCTTTGGTTTTCTGAGGAAATCAGCACAGTTGTAGATGCATGTAAGTCCAAATAGTGGCTTTTATGTCATTACTTTTTTTTATTAGTATCATTTTTTTGTGAAGGTATTATCATTTCTACTTAATTGTATTTTTAGCACTTTATACACCAATGCTTCTGGATATTGGCACCAGTGAGTCCTCCTGTCTACAACCATGAACCTCCTCTGCTCCGCCTGTACCTGGTCCTTTTGTTGATGGAGTGGGATGAATATAATGGTGGTTTTTTTGTTGTTGTTGTTTTGTTTTTTAAAGCAGCACCTTTTTAACAAAATAAACCTGTAAATGATTCCAACACACTCAACAAAATCTCCAAGTAAAGTTTTGACCTTGTATCTTTGCATATTTGGCCATGAGAAGAACCCTCATCTTAAAGTGGTGGAGGTTGTTTCAGTGAAGGCGTTAATAAGAAATATATCTTATAATCTTCAGTAATAGGTTATCATTGTTAAATTAAATGTTTTCAATGCCTACAAACACATTGATAACTGCTTCTCTATATGCATTATTATGAAATCAGATATACACCCCCCTTTTTTTGTATTTAGATCTTATTTTCTGAAGGCTACTTATTTATATGCAACAATTTCACTATGAAGAGGCCTAAATTCTCTGTGATTTTTGTGATACATCTTCTTATACAAACAAATGTTTAAAACATTTTTAGCCTCATTTGCAGCTTTGTTTTCCCATTTGAATGTTTTACTTCTTTATTTTTTACTCTTACCTACAAACTGTTGAACTAATATTGAATAATATTTTTAAATATTAGAAGCAATTTTTTTAAGGAAAATCAATTTACACTTTTAAAATATGACCATTTACTGTAACTTTGAGGGATGGGCGCTTCGAAGAACACAGCGAATGAATATGGACACACTGCAAAATACACTGGAACTGATTTTTAATTTCTTAATCATCAAAATCATAGTAGCAAAATGTTTCTTTTTTTATTATATGCAAATTAACAAGCGTATTATTTCTTCTGATTCAAAACCCTTTTCATTTGAAATGAAATATATTGAGTTTGTATTTCAATTCAGCAAAATATAACTTCAGCTACACATCATGCATAATTTGATTAAAATACTTTTCTTCATAAAGCACATTGCATTACTTATTGTTATAACTTTATCATAAGATGAATTAGCTTTAACAATTTGTTTCCCTTTTTTTCTGAGATTTTTCTTTTCAGGAAGTAACCTTTACTGAAAATTAAAGTCTACAAGAACTGTGATGATTTCATGTTTGTTTTGCTGGGTTTGATTTAACTGGCTCTTCCTCTTCACATCCGAGAAACAGCACAGAGTTTATGAGGTAAAGGACCAAGAGTGACGCCTCCTTGTGCAGTCAGAACCAGTTCGTCTTCTGTGACTCCGGGTGCAGGAGTGAAGCGGAAATGCTGCAGCAGGGTGGTATAGAAGAGGAAAAGCTCCATCTTGGCTAAACTCTCTCCGAGACAAATCCTGCGGCCTGAAGGGGAGATTGAAACATCAGATATTTCTTCAGTTACAGCAATTCACCAGAGATACCCGAACAAACACATACCTGCAGAAAATGGCATGAAGGCATCACGCTTGACAAATTTTCCTTCTTTGTCCAGAAAATGAGCAGGATGAAAGCTGTGGGGTTTCTCCCACTCACTGGGATCATGGAGGACAGAAGTCAGGAGAGGATAAACCGTAGTGCCCTTCAGCAAACACAAAATTAGGGAAACAGAGGAAACATTTTATCAGCTTATCAAACTTTTTTTACCTCTAAGAATAATAAAAGGAAAACAAAAAAATAAAAAGCTTGAATTTTAGCCCGCATGATGCGTGGTTCTTACACGTACAATTCCATTAATCTAATATTTTGTACAAGTTTAGGTGATTGCAGTTGTTGAACTCTTGTAGCTGACAGAAGAAATATGGCACAGTTAGAACCCTAAAATCTTAGATACAGAAAAAGCTACCATCACCGCCCACAAGTACATGATTAAATGACTATTTTTTTCTTTCCTGTTTATTTCTTCCTTTCCAACCAGTGTTGCTAAGTGTACGGTAATTATCGTATTTGTAAAACAATTTTGCCTTCTGTATGACGTGTAATCAATAAACTCTAAAAAGGCCAAATATAAGATAATATGACCATTCTGTCTATGTGTCCATGCAAATTGATTCAATTTGCATGTTTTCTAAGCCAAACCCTGTTTTTTGGCTAGAATACAAAGCTTCTAACTCAACGCTAATTCTGAAATTTTGAATTGAAAAAGCTTCCTGGACAGGAAGTGAAAAGTCCAGTGGATTGTATCCGTTTGCTTTAGAACATCGCCAATGATTGGCTGAATAGTCGGCTGCACCCGGCCCATGAGGAAGGCAAACAAAAATAGAAAATAAGAAGAAGCAAAGCTGGTCTGGAAGAAGAAGCAATGCAAATGGCCTGTACTTATGTAGCATTTTTCAAGTCAGAGGACTTGACCAAAGTGCTTGACAATAAATTCAGTCATTCACACTCACTGATGGTGGTGAGCTACATTGTAGCCACAGCTGCCCTGGGGCTCACTGACAAAGGCTAGGCTGCCGTACACTGGCACTACCAGGCCCTCTAACCACCATCAGTAGACAATGCAGGTGAGTGTCCTACCCAACGACACAACAACACCGAAAAGCCAGAGCCAAGGCTTGAACCGACAACCCTCCGGTTGCAAGGCAAACTCCTGTATCCAACGCCACTGTCACCCCACATGAGAGAACTTAAGCAAGGGGAGAAAAAGGACGAGAGGGTGGAAAGGTTAAGAAGATGGCAGGGCAGAGTCAGAGTAAGCAGCATCACCCACAGAGCTATTGAAAAGGGGGGGGAGAATCAATTAGTATGGTTTAGAACTGTTGATGGTCCGGAGATCATATATTTCTGCTGATACTGCAGAACAGAACTTGTAGCCGTAACAATAACAATATAAATATAAGTAACAATATAATAAACCCACCACAAAAAAAATAAAATAAATGCAGAGAAAGAAAAATAAATAAATAACCCAAATGAAAACCCATAACACAATTTGCCAGCAAACTCTACACATGTGGTATGTGTATTGCTGTAATCATATTTAATTATTTCAGCCTGTCAAAAGTAAGATACCGCTGATGTCTCATGTCCAAAGGTTTTCCAGAGACAAAAAATGTTTTTTAATCATTCTATTCAATTCTAGAATGATTAAATGTGTATTGATCTTTATAACTGTTGGGCATGTGTGGCTTGATTTCCTATCTTGTTATTAATTTATATTCATTTTCTAAAGACTGACCTTCTTGATTTGGTAACCCTGAAATGTGATGTCTCTGCTGGTTTTATGAGGAAGCGCATTGGGAACGATGCTGGCCAGTCTTTGAGTCTCGTGGATAACAGCATCAGTGAAGGGCAGACTCCTTCTGTCTGCTACCTGGACCTGACGATCTCCTATCACGTTCCTCAGTTCCTCTTGGACCTGCTCTTTTAGATAGAATGGAATGAAGATAATGATCTTTTATTCATAGAATTACCATTATAACAAGATAAACCTCTAATTTCCTCAATCCATATTGTCTTCGTGGTAGTAAAGTCTTTACCTTGTATCTTTGGATATTTGGCCATAAGAAGAAGGCCCCATCTCAGAGTGGTGGATGTCGTTTCAGTCCCAGCGTTGAACAAGTTTGTAACTGTCACTAAGAGGTTTTCATCGTGAAATTGGCTGTTTTTAATGCCAGATGCCTGCAAATAAATAAATAACTGTGATTCTCCATACAAATTTTTGGCCTCAAATTTACACCCAGATGTTATTACGGTTTAGTTCAGTTCAAAAATGCCCCAAAGAGAAATAAAATAAATTTTTACAAAATTTATTAAATCTGGAACCTTCTTGTCCTTTTCCTACAATTGGTCTTTTGCTCTTCCTGTCAGGACTCCTGTCTTTGTGTTTGTGTTTCTGTGTTTGTCTCCCTTCATCCACCAGGAGGCGCCTGGTTCTGGTCCGCCTCCTCACACACCTGCAGATGGTTTCCTCATTAACGGAGTGTTCTTAAGCTGCTGACTGCCACTACCTCGACGCCAGAGTGTTTGCCAGTTTTGGGAAGTCATCCTGCAAACTGGATTTTTCGGACCTTCTCTCCCTGGAAGGATCAACTGAGCTTCAAACTGAGCTGGGGTTCAAAGAGGAGGTATGGATCCCCTTTCTCCAAGAGATCTTTGAGCCTCGCACTGAGAAAGGGATTCATCTCCACTACGACCCGTTCAAGTACCGCAGGAAATCTGAGTGGCATTCAGTTTCTCCGTTCACCTATTAACAACCGCATTCTGGGTAAACCCTGTTCCGCCCTCCATCGAATCAGACAAACACTGGAACTACAGCATACAGACTGGAGTCAAGGATTCAACAAACTTCTCTGGAAACGTGAGTCAGCAACCAATTCCTCTTCTCCAAGTTCACGGGTCAAATTTCCCACCGAGCCTGAACTACACTGCAAAAACCATCTAGAAATAAGTAAAAAATTTCTTAAAATAAGTGCATTTACCCTTAATTTTAGTAGGTAAATAAGACGATTTGCCAATGGAATGAGTATTTCTACTCCTAAAATAAGACAATTAGATAATATTCACTTGAAATAAGACAAAGCAATTGTTTTTTTCTTATTTTAAATGTAAATTGTCTTGTTCCATTGGCAAGGTGTCTCACTTATCTCCTCAATTCAAGACAAAATTCACTCAATTTAAGCAAAAATAACTCATACAGATTTCCATTTTTTGCAGTGTAACCGCTGTGTCTTCTCCTCACTTTTCAGTTCCAGTTGAGCAGTGTTCAGAGCAACACTTTACTCTGTATTATCTCTTCAATAAAACCTGTTAAACCTTTTCCCTGGTCTCCCTGTTTGGTCTTCTGCATTTGGGTCTGAACTTTAGTGAAATCATGACACTTCCAACATATTCTCCTCACAAAACTATTGCAAATACTAAAGTAAATGGAGTTAAACCCCAATCTGTTGATGTACACAATATGTTTTGAACTGCCTACTCATATCAGCTGTTTTCTATTACACATATTTTGTTGGAAAGTTGTATTGCAGTGCATTAATGATTTAACAATAAAACAAAGAATCTTTGCATTTTTTTCCAAACATACATTACAGTAATTTATTTTTAGCTGTGATGTAAAAAAGCGAGCAAGTTCAATCGGAGATTAATGTCTGAAATTATTTCAGATGAAAAATCAAACCTCCAGAGTTTGCTTGCGAACCAGGAAGGCATCCACAAAGCCTCTGCACATCTCAGGGTTCAGGGTCTGCTTTAGCTGACTGAAGAGAGCAAAGTTCTTCTTCCTATTTGTCTCTTTGAATTCTATGAATTCCGTCATCCTTCTCAGCCATTTAAAGAGGCTTGGAAACATGTTATAAAGCTTCAAAAAAAAAAAAAAAAGTTAGTTAATTATTCAGGCAGCTTCAACATTTGTTATCTGTGCATCAAATACCTGTAGGGATGGAGAGCCAGTTAGTAGAATAATTTGGTTGGTTCGATCCACCATCGATGTAAATTCTGGGTCATCGTATTCAAATCTGTTGCCATAGACCATGGAGCAGATGATGTTAGAGACTGCATAGTTTAGAGGCTGCATTGTATCAAAAGGTTCTCCTGTAACAAAGTAGAGAGAAATCAGTGGAGTTTACAGAGTTTTAAAAAAGTATTTGCCCTTTAGGGGGCATTAACATAAAACTCAAAGGACGTGCGTTGGTTGCTTGTTCATTTGAACACCTTTGCATACCTTGCTCCTGTACCTCCCCAATCAATGCTTGTCAACAATAGCTTCATGCCAACAAACTGCACTATTCTTCAATTTAAAGGTAGTGTACGTTACATATAAGCATTACATAGAAAAACATTGTCCCTTCCTTACCCCAATACATTAATTGAGTAAGTCAAATAGGTCATTTATTACATAACAGTCAAATAATTTCGACCAATGAAAGCTAAGACCTGAACTTTCTACAGATCAGATTTCCAATTAACAACTTTTCAAATATTCCTCTAAATAAATAAATCTGTTCCCACTAAAATCAATCACTCTCTGTTCTTCAGAGTTAGATTATTACATCAAATAAAGATAATGCTATAGCCCATCTAACCCTTTAGAAAAACAGTTTGCATCATCCAAAAAAGCTAAATCTAAAGTAGCATTAGACTCAATCTGACATGTTAGACATGCACAGAGCATCTGTGCAAGACATACATCCCACAAAACCAGCTTTAACCTGAAGAACTATTCCAAAATTCTAAACAGTCTGAAAGATTTATTTCATTAAACTTAGGTTCTTACGAGTGCATTTCTACACTTCTGTCCATGTGCTGACTGACAAAGGAAGCACACCAACACTAAAACTAAATCAGTGCCATTAAGCCACATGCACAGCCCCCCCTCTGAACCAGGTTAATCAAATGCATGCCAAAAATATAAGTGATAGTTCTGCCACATTACAATACTGCATTTAACCTCTTTCTTACAAATAGTTTGCCTGGACAGAGTGGTGAATTTCAGCCCTTTTTGCTTTAATGTTTCATCACAAAGGAATGGGTTCTATCTGCATGCATCTGTTGCTCTCATTTGTTTAAATCAACATGGCGGACCTTGATTTTGCTGATCAAATAGCAGCAAGCCCCACTGAATGTGGAAACCTGAACAATGGAGTTATCATCCTTTGGTTGCCTTCTGAGATAATTTCAGTCTCTCTAGTAGCAGGAAAGGCAATCCCATATCGGGAGATGAATCCCCCTCTGAGAAGTCTTCGCTGCACTCCTTCATACTACCCTTCAATATAACCAGGTTTAATTTGATTGGTTAACATGATGGGAATTGGCAGCAAAGTTCAGATAGTTTAACTCAACTGGAACTACAGGGGGATGTTTACAATCAGAGCCAAACTAATGAGATGTCACATACCACATAAATTTATAATGAGCACATGTGTGCAGGACCAGGTGGATCTGTGATTTAAGAACAATCATTGGAAGTTCAGAAATGGGTTTGGCTTTGCAGCTTTATTGCATTAAACATTTATTTGAAAGATACTTGTTAAAGTCGTAGGGAAACGAGTGAAAAAAGTGAATAGGATTGGTCGTTCATCAAGAGGGCGGGATTGTTGTGTCGGAAGGTTCGCTAGCTATTTGGTTGTGGCCGGTTTCTCGGATGCATCTTAGTGCTAGTAGGTTCCCAATGGGAAATTTTATTGAGACCAAGAAGCACTAAATTGGTGACTTAGAAACGACGCTGTCAAGGAACGCTATGGACAGCGGAGACATGCATGAGAAGGAGAGTTTAGTGTCAGAGGTTGTGGATGAGTCCCCTCCGTCATCCATTTTATTTTTAGAGGAGGAAAGTTGCTACAAACATGTTGTGCAAGAGGACGCCAGGGCGGCAGAAGCTTGGTTTGGTGTAGAAGGCTTACAGCCGTACCTGTTTGAGCCCTTGCCTCACAACCCTGCCAGTTCTGTTAGCTCTACGCCTGCAGAAGACACAGACGTGCCTCCAGACGTAACTTAATGGTAAAGTAAATAATTCTTATTTCTTACTTAAACTGCTGCATATATTAGCTTCAACATCAAGATGCTATGACCGAAAACATTTGATTGACAGATGACCGTTGCTATATGATTGGCCTGCATAAAATAATGGGGGGAAAAAAAACATAGGTTTTAAGACAGAATTTTCTGCGATGGACTGGCGACCTGTCCAGGGTGTACCCCTCCTCTCGCCCGTTGACTGCTGAAGATAGGCACCAGCACCCCTTGCGACCCCAATTGGGACAAGCGTGTAAGATAATGGATGGATGGATGAGTTTTCTAAATTTAAATTCATATACATGCTCAAGCCAGAATGATTTGAGATTTTAATGTTATTTCCCTACGACTTTAATGTCATGACAATGGACTGCATTAATGGTACAGATTATAGACTTTACCTTTGAAATTCTTAAAAACTTCAATGAGGTGCTGACACTCCTCGATTATTTTATCTTCACAAGCCTTTTTGCCCATTCCAAAGTCCCTTAGGTTTGTCAAAGCAAAGCGTCGCATTTCTCTCCAAGCGTCCCCGTTTGCCCATAAAACCCCTAGAACAAAATAAGAAATAGCATTTGACTTAGATTCCAATAAACAGATTAAACTCTAAGTTACAGCAAGCTTTCTTTTCCTCACCGTGCCCTTTGTTGAATTCATTAAAAAGTGGAAAGGTTTGCCGTTCTCCAAACTCCTCATCATGCTGAACAAGAGCCTCCTTGACTGTTTTGTATCCTGCCAGAACCACCACTTTTTGTGGTCCAAGATAGACAGTGAAGACTGATCCAAACTCCTTGGATAACTAACAATAAAAACATGAATAATATTTCAATGATTGAAAAAACAATTACAGAACTAAAATGATGAATATAATGGTGTTTTCCTTTGGACTTAAAACTCTTTAAGTACAAGAGCCCCTGAAGTCCAGATTCTGAGAAATGTTGAAATAAGGCAATATCCCCGAGTTTACGTCAACTCGTGGCTTCGTTTGGATTCACCCGTTTTATGGTGGAAGTTTAGAATTGTGAGATTTGCAGAGAAAGGAGGGGTTTGAACTTCTCTGTACATCCATTTCACCCATTGAACTATTGTTATTCATCTATGACAAGGGTAACTCCGTTTTGCATTCCATGATCCCTTTAAGGTCAAATAGAAAGGAGCGCTTCCATCTTCCAGGTCCCTGAGTAAAGCTCTAGAATCAGCTCACGCAGTCCACTGGATCTTTCCATAAAGCTCAGCAGATGGTCTTGCCAACCAGCAGTCTACAGACTGACCAACTTCATCTATCTCCAATCCACCACCAGTTTCAGGCCTTGGAGGAAACAAACCTGTTCTTTACTCCTGTTCATGCCAATCAAAATTCGGCGCTATGTTTTCTGCCTAGGTCTGAGCGCAAAAGACTAAGTAATTGTATCAATAAATTTCTTCTAGTTTTCTTTTCTCTCCGTGGGAGTTTTTAGATCGAACTGAGAAACAAACAAATATGCTTGAGTGCTTTGATGGATATGCATTGCTCTGTTATGCTGAACCACCTTTGAGGTGTAAACCGACCAGTTTTTGAAACTGTTCTGATGTTTTCTCTGTTTACATCTCATCACCACACCCTTCACGGAGATCACAACTAGGGCTGGGCATTAAACGGCATCTGCTGTGTCATATAACAAAATGCAATTTTCCCATCGCTGGGGCACTCAGTTTTGGTCACATTACATTTAAAAAGAGAAGGACACGGACATATTAACTGCAGCTGGTATTAATAAACTTAAAGTGGGTTTGCCTCAACACCGAAGGGAAGAGTTGTAAATATCATGTGGATTGTGCATCCATGCATACGTGTACAAATAAAGAACATTAATGGAAATATTCATTTAAAATACTGAATACTGAATATCATTTGACCTTCTTACCTCCAGTAAAGATTTATATAGTCTGCTGAGGTCAAGTTGCAGAAGGTTTCCAATCACAGGAAGGGGTCTTGGTCCGGGTGGATCCTTTCCATGTTTTTCAGGGCTAAACCTGGAGGATGAAATTAAATACACCAACAGAAGTACTAGAAGAGCCACCAACAAAGTGGCTGAGTGGGACTGGAGCAAAACATCCAGAATCCCCATGACTTTGACAAGTATCTAGATGTACTAGTTCTGAGAGTGAAAGTGACTGAGCGGTTCAAGGGAAACCAGACAGTTTAAATAGCAGAGAATCAGCCCAGCCCAGTTCAGCTGAACAAATAGAATTACATTAAAGAAAGTAAATGATTAATTTAAAACTGGTACTGTACTGTGTCAAAGTTGATTCCTGATTTCACAATTCTTTGTGAGTCAACCACATATATACTGACCTTTTTCACACTGATTGTTTTGGTGAACTGCCAGGAAGCCACTCCCCTCTGCCGATCCCATCTGCTTCTAGTTTCTGCTCTGCCTGCTGGAGATGGGAACCAGTTGGACTTAATCTCATTCAATTAAAGAGTGTACTTTTGGTGTGGCTGACCTCTCACTCTTGTTTGAGGAAGCAGCACAGCATGCAAGCCAAACAGTTATGGTAGAACATGCAAAGTGCAAACTGTGCAAAAGGTTACTAAGAAGAACTATGAAGGACAGCCGGTAAGCTGATTACAGCTGCTTATTCGCATGGACTGACTCTGATTATCTGGTTGATTGTTTAATATTATTAAAAGGAAAAAAAAAAATTTATATATATATATATATATATATATATATATATATATATATATATATACACTTGATGTTTATTAGTTAAAGCAGATAAAATGTTGATATAAATGCTAATTAATTGCTGTTTAATTTCCATATAAAATACTTAATGTTTACTATTCTTTAGGATTAAATTATTTAAATAGGTGGAAATTGATTTGTTTTCTTTCTTTTCATGTTGATCTCTCAATGTAATTAGATATTTCTGTCTCTTTTTGAGGGTTTTCAGCTGTGTGATTGGAGGAAAATTATAACCATCAAAATAAAGATGACTTAAATGAAGACTCGTTAAGTGGACACCAGTTGTTTCACAGAAGAGACTTCCCTTTCAAGTGGGGATTGCACATTTAAAAATCAAATCTAAACAGAGAACTTGACACTGATTTTCAATTTTTTTTTTTTTTTTTATTGAAAACATAACCCTGCCGTGAAATCTGATGTGCATTTCCAAATGTACCTCTGTAAGTGACAAGACATAAGATTGTTTTTTCGATTAGTGGTAAAAAAAAAAAAAAAAAAAAACTTAATTACTTTGCTTTTGTTTGTTCTTTGTTATCTGAAAGATAGCTCTGCAACTTTCATCACAAACTCTTTGAGAAGAAATCAAAACATTCGCTTTACTGTTGCTGGAACAAAACTTTCAAAAAATGTCATATTAAAGACACAACTGCTGTCATATCAGCCAACAGTCCACAGATAAGGAACACACCAATACATATTTAGAGGGGAACTCGATACATTGAGAATCATAACGGATTTCTTTAACAGCTTGTACTTGGAATTAGGGATGCACGATATAATCGGCCCCCTATCGGTATCGGCCTTAAAACTGAATATCGGACATCGGCCACCCCACTAATATTTAACCCGATATTTGATCAGCTTCTGAGTTTCTAAAGTCTAAAAAAAATATAAAAAATACTTCTTCTACCTCAAAAACTTCTTTTTTACAGACTTAAAAACTTCTAAAGACGAGGGAAAAAATATTGATACATTAAAATATCACAATATCTTAATATGCTGATATATTGCCATTTAAAAACACCATATCAATCTCTTTTACTAATGAAATATTGCTATATGTCATCGTTATGCTACGAAATCCCCTGAAAATTCACAAAATTTTGCCATATTTTTATATTTTGATATATTGACGCGGTATCGATCTATTTTACTGACAAAATCTCACAAGAATTTGCAAAATATCACGAGAGTTTGTAAGTAAAATAGATCGATACCGCATTTTTAAAAATCAATTTGATATCAGCATATGAAAATATATTTGAGTATATTATTTTTCAAAGTGTCAGAAATGGATAACAAAACTGCTATTTTCAATGACTACTTATTTTTGTCCAGCTTTAACATCAGTATCGATATCGGTTATCGGCTACATGAGTTTTAAAATATCGGCATATCGGATATCGGCCAAAATCCCAATATCGTGCATCCCTAGTTTGAATAGTCTCAAAGTGTATGCCTGATTATACATCTATACACTATTCTGTTCCAGAATAATGCACACACTTTTATTTATATTCTTTCTACAAAGTTTTCAGCTTAAAATGAATTGCTTTATAAATTACGATCTCCTTGAAAATATCTAGACCTGTTTCTGGCTGTGTAAATTTTACTTTTGTTTTACTTCTTATTGCCTTATTAAAGGAAGGGGTTGCAGAGATAATTGAACAAAAAAAGAATACTGGGGTAATTTGGGAAGACTTGGATAAAAGTTCTGGAGGACTTATAAAAGAAACACCAACCACCAGCCAAGGATTTGAATCTTTCCTCAGAAGAGAATGGTGGACATAAATATGAATTTTGCAGACTTATCGATGAAGAGAGGATCTTAAGGTTTTAGAAAGTCTGAAATTTAAAATTAACATTTTTTTTTATTAAGCTAACAACAACAAGTCAATCCCACTACACTCCAATTCAGAGGTTGGTGGTAATGCACAATAGTTGTTTGGTAACCACCAATAAATCTGATGAAGTCTTGTAACTGTATTGTTGATTTTACAGTATGTTTTTTGTGAATGACATTAAAGACAAGCTTTAAAGTTAATTAAAGGAAGAAAAAGAAAACATTTACTATTGTATCTGTAATTCAGGGGGTTTTAGAAGATAGGAACCTGTTTTTGATTCACGTAAATATAACACTTTAACACTTGCTTTTTAAGTGCAACTAGTTTTCATGATTTGAGTAATTAAATCACATCTCTGGTCAAGAAAATATAACCAAAAATGCTGTGTCAGCTCAAATTCCTGCCTCGCACCAACAAGATCCTGGGTTTGATTCCTGACCCATGGTTCTTCTGCATGGAGTTTTAATTTCCTTCCTGTGCATTTTCCTTTCAAGGTACTCCAGCTTCCATTAACAGCCCAAAAACATGACTGTTTGGTTAGTTGGTATAAATTGAGACTTGCCTCGACTGACGGATTAAGAGGCAGAAGGTGGATGGATGGACTAAGCAGTTCCTATGCAATCAGTTAATATATAAAAATTTGTATTAGGTATTTCTAATGGAAATATTATTTTGATTATTTTAGGTAGTTGAACTAATGCATAATTCTGCAAATACAGCTCTAGTTAATAGAACGTAAAATAACCGGTTCACTGTACTTATTTTTGTTGCTACTGGTTTGCATGCTTTTATAAAGTAATGATGCTAGTGGATTTTACAGTGTAGCGTCACCGTTGACTGGAAATCTTGTAATCAGTCATGGGCTGATCTATGGGGCTACAGGTAGTTTGCTGTACCAAACTCAACATGGACCAGAGAAAGTAAAGAAAAGGGTTTTCTTGTTCAATTACGAAGAGAATCACAGACATGCATGTTAAAGGTTAGAAGACCACCTCCAAGCAGCTTGATGTTCCTGTGACTGCAATTGCACGTTATTCAGAAATGTAAGATCCATGGGACTGTAGTCAACAATCCTGGATATGGCCACGGGAGGTAATCTGATGACAAATCAAAGATTGATAATATAAGAAAGAGTCCAGGAGAACATCTTAAAAGATTAAAAGTTAAATTGAGGATCAAGGACCATTGGTGTCAGATGTGTGTGTCAAAGGGAACTTAATGGGAGTTCATTAAGGACACCGTTGTTGAAAATGAATCATTAAAAAGACAGACATGAACTTGCCAAACTACATGTTAACAAGCCACAAGGCTTCTGGGAGAATGTCCAAAAAAATTGAACTTTTGCCCAGGTACTTCAGCTCTATGTTCACATACAAAAAATTAAGGCTATCTAGAAAATAACACTGTCCCTACTGTAAAACAAAAGACTCTGTTATTTTTATGTACTAGAAACAGATAGAAGTCATTTAAAATTATTATATATTTGTAAAGGAGGCTTGAGCAAGTTCAATCAGAGTTTATAATCCCTGAAATTATTTCAGATATGGGGGGGAACCCTCCATATTTTGCTTCCGAAACTATATAGGATCTACAAAGCCTCTACAGATCTCAGGGTTTAGGGTTTGCTTTGGCTGACTTAAGAGTGCAAAGTAGATTTTCTAATTGGCGAATGCTATTTCTAAGAACTCCTTCCTACTTCTAATCCATTTGAAGAGGCTTTGAAACATGTTATAAAACTTTCAAGACAGAAGTTTAAATTGGGTATAGGAGCAGATGATGTTAAAAACAGCATAGGTTTTTGGCTGCATTGCATTAAAATGTTCTGTTGTGATAGAGTATAGAGAAATCCGTGGAGTTTACATTGCCGACAAAAAATATATCCCCCAATACATTAAAATATACAATTCACCGCAATTCCAAACAATGTGAAAATGTTGCATTAGTTCCTTGTTAATTAGAATACCTTCCCATACCTTGCTTCAATACCTCCCCCAGCAGTAGTTTTTCACAGAGGCTTCATGTAAAAAACTGAACTATTTTTTTTATAAAAGGTAACATACAAACTGCACTGCACGTTCTTACATCTGTGAGTGTCCCAGACACACGTCTTTTAACTGTCCAAAAAAATTACAAGGCTATATTTAACAATAACACATACACACAAAAACCTCTCATGTTTACAAAGTGGTGAGATTCTACCCTTTGTTCTTTAATGCGTGATTACAAAGGACCACCTTTTATCTGCTTTGGGGTTGCTCTTGTCTGTTTAACTCCACATTGCCAAGCTCATTTTTGCAAAGCCAGACATGGTGCTATGTAAAAGTTGGTCCCTGGGTTTGCTCGCTGTCCAATTTCTGTCTCTTCAGGACCCAGCAGCAGGACCTGTTATGCCATGTTATGGACAAATCATTCTGTTTGTCACAGTCTTGGTTCTGTTATGTTTTCTTTTCAGTATTCTGTTTTACTTTGCTCAACGTTTTCTAGTTTTAGTGGTTTAATTCTTATTTTGTTGTGTTCTCTGGTTATTTTTCAGTTTTAGGGTTTTTATTTGTTGCCCTCTGCTGCCCTCTTGTGTTCTCCTTTTCCCTAGCTCC